CGGCTGCCGTGTCGTCTCAGTGCTACTGGGCGGTCTTCTGTCCCGCTAGATCCGACGGGCCTTCGCAGAAAGCTCGGCAGCCCCCTGGCCTTCTGAGAAGTGTGCTGCGCCGTCCGCGCAGGCACGGAGCACCTCTCAGAAGGCGCGAGGGCTTCTGAGAAGCCCCGCCGACCTCCGAGAAGGCCTCCTCCTTCTCACTGCACCCCGCCTCGCTCGCCCCCGCTGAAGATCAACAGGACATGGAATCGCCTAGGGGAACAAAAGGTGACATACACATAAAAACCCGGAGGTCCGCGCGGATTCCTGAGATCGGCGCCAGACCCCCCAGCGGCGCCGGAGGCGCCGCCGGGGGCCCGCAGCGCCGATCCGAGATATCCGCGCGGACCTCCGAGTTTTTATGTTTATGCCACTTTTTGTTCCCGGTATCTTTCCCCCCCCCGGCCTGCCTCCAGACCCCCCACTCTGCGGGGATGGGCCAGGTGGGGGAAGGGATGTTCTTCTCGATGGCCTGGCGTGCTGCAAGCAGCGCAGGAAGCAGAAGGAGCATGAGCGGCTGGAGCCGCAGCTATCTACCCCGCTGACTGGCGCCCCGGAAAACATCACGAATCTATTGGTCCCCGTCCCCCGGCGGACGAGCCACGAGCGGGCGAAGCGCAGGAGATCAGCTCTTGAAGTCGGCGGCGTGCTTGCCCAGGAAGATCGCTCGCGGACTCCCGAGAGCCAGTACGCGCGGGCATCCATTCTGGATGCCGGCGCGCTCTTCGCGGGGGCGTGAACGGCCGCCCCTCCCCTCCGTCAACAGCAAGGGCCAGAGCGGCGCGCCCACGCATGTGGGCGGCACCTCCGAGCCGGAGCGATCGGAAGCAGGGCGCGCCGGCGTGGTGCGCGCCAGCGCGCACGGACTCTCCGGGTGCTGCAGGGATGCGAGCGAAGAGAGCGCGGAGCACGAGGGTATTGGGCCCCTCTGTCTAGACCTTCTAGATGGGGTCGGAGTGTAGATGGGGTCGGAGGGTCGCGCCATGTCGCCGATGCATCGACTATGCGGCTCGATGCGGAGCCCGATGTTTCCCACGGCGACGTCGCCGATACATCGCCAACTTATCGCTGGTGCATCGCTGATGCATCGCCGATGCGTCGCCGATGTCTCGCCGATGTGTCGGCGATGCGGCGCGGTTCTCCGACCCCATCTACTCCGACCCCATCGAGGAGGCCTCTACTCTCGGGCCCCTGATCTGGCCGAGTCCCGCGCGTGCCCCCGAGACGCCGGCCGCGGCACCTCCGACTTGATTTCAACCCGCAAGTGTTGGCCAGCGCGTACGTGTCGACTGCACGTAAGAGTGACCTTTCGCCGGAGTGACCTTCGGTGCGGGCCCACCAGGGTTCCCCGATCGCCGAGTGCGTGGCGATGATTGTGCCTGGCGCGCGTGGGTCCCTCCGCGGCTCCCCGAAAGCAGCGCACCCCAGGTCACTGTTACCCAGGGTCACACTTGCGTGTAGCCGCATCTGTTTCTGCAGATTTCTTTTCTGGGGGGGGATCCTCTGCCCCCGGCGGCGGGGGGCCGTCGAGCGCCTCAGGGTGATTGGGGATCGGGTGGCTCTTGCGGGCCCTGGCTCGAGGAGAGAACCCGAGAAGTCTCCGCGGGAGGTCCAGGAGGTTCTGGACCGGATGTCGCCGGACAGGGTCCACTTCGATCCGGTCAATAAGGTTCGACATCGATTCTGGCCATCCTGGAGCAGCCGATCCGATTCGATTCCGCATGCCGATCCGACGCACATTCCGACTCGATCTGATTTCCCCATTCGACGCTCACTGATCTTGCCCGACCGCTGGTCGAGCCCTCTAAGGGCAGCGCTACCCTGTAGTTCGGGGAAGCTGTGTAGGTTTCGTGCACTTGCCTTTTGAGCTCCATTCACGACTGGCCCCTGGCGTGGAGCAGCAAGATGGCAGCAGCATGCGATGTTCGGGACGGGCGACATGGGGTGGGGGTCGGGAAAGGTGGGGTACGATACCTGTGGCATGCGTTTGGTTTCGGCGCCGCCGCCGGGCCCTTTTCTCGATACACACTGGCCGCCCCTGGCGCTGGGGGGCGCTAAGAAAGCCGGCTGTTCGCGGCTGAACCGCAAACCTCCCGCTTGTTATCCCTCCGTTTCGTCCGCATCGATATTTGTACTGCGTGCGCTTGGGAGCCAGCTGTGACCAACCTGGGCAGACGCTGTCCGCGCGCAGCCTGGCTACATAATAAAGGTCGAGGACTGGGGCTCAGAGGATTAGGCATAGGCTCTGAGGACACGCCCACTCCGTACCCACGGGCACGCTGGCGGAATGTTGCATCAACATAATTTTTCGGCGGTGGATTCCTTGCCAGATTTCTCGGATCGGCGGTGGATCCGCTTGCCGGTGCCCTTGGCACCGCCCCTGGCGCGCGGCGCGCGCCAGGTGTTGGGTAGTCCAGCTCCGATCCAAGAAATCTGCGCGGACCTCCGAGGGGTTATGCTTATGCACATGTTGGTCCTTGAAGCCACATGACGAGCACCGCCCAGGCGAGTCCTGGATAGTTACACACGCGGCCGCAAGTTTTGCCAGCGCCCAGCCCTTCTCTGGGCGGGTGCACGTCTGCCTTCCGCATATATATATATATATATTCACACATATATATATACATACATTAATACACATATACATTTATACAAGACCGCATTGGCGGTTCGCGCCATGCGCTTTGTTCCGGACCCTCCCCGGCAAAGCAAAACATCATCGCTTGCTTCAGCGGGGGGACCAAGCCTGGACGGGCGACCGGCTCATTTTTCTGAAATCCCTGGTGCCTGCTGACACCGCGTTCGCCCTATGCGCTGCACGCTTGTGCGCAGGAGCCTGGGGAATGATGTTTTTTTTTCACGCGCGAAGGTCCTTTGAGGAATAGTAAGGAGCGCTCTCATGACACGCCGAAAAAGTCGCAGTAGCACCGAACAAATCGATTTTTGGTAGCTTCCTGAATGCCTGGAAGGCCCCAGGCAGTCAGGAAATCTACGATCGTCGAACTTCGAATCTAGATCCATTGCCTGTCTCTCTCGATCGAGGAACTGAAACCTCGAGCCTCAAGCGTGGAACCAAAATCGTCGGGTCAGCTCGATATACTTCGTAGGAGAACGCCGTCTGGGCGTTTTGAGGGCTCTTTTGGGCCGTCCTGGGGCCCTCTTGGGCCTTCCCGGGGGACTTCTTGAGCCGTCTTGGGGGGCTGGGGCCCTCCAGAGGTCTTCTGAAGCCATCTAGGGCCCTCTTGGGGGCCTCCAGTGGCCCTCTTGGGGGTCTCCCATGGCTTTCGTGGGTCTCTCTTGGGAGCCTTCTGGCGGCATCTTGGGCTTCTTGCGGGCAGTCGCTGGGCTCTCTTGGGCAGTCGTGGGCCCCCTTAGACCGTCAAAGCCTCTGGGGGGCCTCTTGGGCCGTCTTGGGGTGATATCGGGGGCCCATCGGGCCGCTGTGGACGCTGCGAAGTCCCAAACAGCGGATATGTTAAACTTTTACAATTTCCCAGAGGAATGGGACGATGTGTGCTTCTTCGGAGCTTTCTTAACAGGCTCTTGGGGCGTCTTGGGGGCCTCTTGGGCCGTCTTCAGACCATCGAGGTTCCTCTTGGAGCGCTCTGGTGCTGTCTTGGGTCTCCTTTGCGCCTTTCCGATGACCCCTCTGATTGTCTTGAGTCTGCTCGCAAGGCCTGGCAAGGCGCCCTGGGAAGCCCGGAAGGGCCAGCGGACCTTTTCCAAGGGCGTCCAGGGGGCCGCTGAAACGTCCGAAAGGGTGCCCAAGGCGTCCCTGGGGGGGGGGATCCGGTTTAGGGGGGGTCCGGGTAATAAAAATATAAGAATAGGAATATAGCATATACGCCCAGCGCGCGGTTTTTATGTGCTCGCCTAGCCACGTGTGCTGTCGCTTCCGTAGCAACGTGTCAGAGCCCAGGGCACCCGCGGGGGCGCGAATATGGTGCAGTGGCGCATCGCGCCCCGTCGCGGTCTGGGCCAGAGTGGTTGCCCTTCTCCAAGGGGGGGGGCTTACGGACGGAACGGCGTCGCGCATCGCTTGGGGCGCGAGGCGCGTCGCCAGGGTGACCTGGCAGAGCTTCGTCGGTGCACTCGGCCTGGAGCAGTAGGCCGCTGCGCGGCGCGCCTCGCCTTGGAGGGTGTCTCTGAGCGGCTTGGGCGATCCGTCCTCCTCCTCCTCCTCCTCCTCCTCCTCCTCCTCCTCCTCCTCCTCCTCCTCCTCCTCCTCCTGGCACCTGTGCCACTGGCTTCCCTCCCCAGGAAGACAGGCGGGTTGCCTCCCGTTCGTCACCCCAGGTGCTCCTTCGGGACCCTGGGGGGGAGAAAAAAAGTAGTAGTAGGCCGTCCCAGCCTGTTCCCTGGCGGAAGCGTCGTTCCTGGGGCCTCGGGGCTGTTCCCGACTCGCCAGTGCGGCGGGCGGGGATAGTTCAGGGCCCCAGTGCGCGGCCTTTCCTTCCGTGTTCCCGTGCCTGGGTTGTGGATTTATGCCACGTTTCGTTGCGACACCTTTGCGGTGGCCCACCTGGTACTCCGCCAGGGTTTGGGCGGTGTCGCGGGTCCCCTGTGCGGGGGGGGCTCATTGAAGGATCCCCGCCCATTCCTCCCATTGTCACGGTCCCCCGCCGCAGCGTGCGTGGGGGCGGGTTGTCCCCGAGGGAGTGGTGCCCCTCGGGTGGCCTATCGGGGCGGCACGACCGAGAGCGGCGTGTCGTTACGTGAGGCCTCGAAGTCGTTAGAACGTTTTTAGCTGCGCTGCGTTATTTTTGCTTTTGCAGCCTCGCACACTGGTCGCGCGCATCGGCTCTAGACGCTTTCAGCCCTCGTTTTGCGTGTTTCCGCGGTAAGCGTCGCCGCCTCCAGCCACAGAGTCTGGACGAGCCCGCGCGGACTCCAGTCGTGGGGGCTCTGGGGTGGTTCTTGAGCCAACGAGTGCTCGAGCCGGCTCCTGCTCTCACGGTTGGCCCATGGCGCCCTGACACGGTCCGCCTCTTGGGTTGTTCCCCTCCACTTCTCCTCCTCCTCCTCCTCCTCCTCCTCCTCCTCCTCCTCCTCCTCCTATTCCTCCTCCTCCTCCTCCTCCTCCTCCTCCTCCTCCTCCTCCTCCTCCTCCTCCTCCTCCTCCTCCTCCCCCTCCTCCCCCCTCCTCCTCCTCCTCCTCCTCCTCCTCCTCCTCCTCCTCCTCCTCCTCCTCCTCCTCCTCCTCCTCCTCCTCCTCCTCCCTCCTCCCTCCTCCTCCCCCTCCTCCCTCCTCCCTCCTCCCTCCTCCCTCCCCCCTCCTCCCCTCCCTCCTCCTCTTCCTCCTCCTCCCCCTCCCCCTCCTCCTCTTCCTCCTCCTCTCCCTCCCCCTCCACCTCTTCCTCCTCCTCCTCCTCCTCCTCCTCCGTGGGTCGCCTGCGGCCCTGGGGGAAACCGTGCACCTCGCCCCCCTTCCTCGCTGGGAGGTGCTCGGCGGCGACCACTTCAACATTCAAGCTGGACCCAGACCGCAAGTCCAAGCAAGTGAGCCGCTTTCCGCCTGTCTCTCCGCGTTTTCCCTTGCTTCGCGTGGCCGCAGAAGGGGCGACGTCCTCGATCGGTTGATGTTGTTCGGGCCGTGCCTCCTCTGCACTGCGTGCGTTTTTTTGACCATCCGATTACGCAGTGACGTGGGCTTCCCCCAGATGTTGGCTAGGTCGGCACGGACTTCCCCCTTGGCGGCGCCTCCAGCACGCCTCTGGCGCGCCCCGCGCGTCGCCACGGGAGGGAGTGCAGCGCCGACCAAAGATGGCCGCGAAAACTTCCGAAAGCTTGTGTCTACCGTGAGGGATAAGTGGTATGAGTGTCACCCGTGGCGTCTTTCACACTGTGCGTGTTCGACCTTCGTCTTTGCGTGCAGAGGCCAGGCTGCTCTTTGGCAGCACTTCGTTGTGGTGCCGTCCGGCCAGCTTGATGCCAATGACTGGCGCTGCCTCTGCCCTCCGCTTCGCACTTTATCTTCTTCCCCTGGGTGCGTGGGCCGCGGCGGCGCCGTGCCCGCGCGCAGGCCGCCTGGACCTCGCGTCGTTCATCGTCCAGCGGAGCATGGGCGAGCAGTACGAGCGGTCGCCCCGCCTCGTCCCCCTTCGCCCGCCGGCCGGGCGGCGCGCTCCCGACGAGGGCCTCACCTCCGGCGCACAGCCCCGCCCTCGGCGGCGGGCCCGCGGAGGCCGAGCGGCAGCGCAAGGGCCCGGGCTCCGCTGGCGGAAGGCTGGCGGAGGGCGGTTGGAGGACGCGCAATGTCGACTGCACGTAAGAGTGGCCCTTCGCCGGAGTGACCTTTGGTGCGGGCCCCTTGGGGTCCCCGATCGCCGAACGCGAAGCGACAGTGGCGTCTTGCGCGCTTGTGCTTGGCCCCCCCGCGGCCCCCAAAGAGCCGCGCACCAAAGGTCACTCTACCCAGGGTCACTCTTTACGTGTAGCCGATAATGGGGGTGCGGTAAATGAGGCGTTGCCGGAATCGCCCTGCCTTCGAGGGCCGAACGAGCTGCATTTTTTTTTGTCTGCGGCGGGAGGCGGCGGAAGGGCGGCGGAAGGTCCGCGGCAGTGAAGCGAGGCCGCTTCCGCCGGCGGACATCTGGCGGCAGGAAGGCGGGAGTAAAAGGTGCGCCCCCGAGAGACCATGTCGGTTTCGGGTGCAGGGTTTCCCGAATCCGCGGGGGGGCAGCCAAGGCTGCAGAAAAGGGCCTTTTTCGGGCCCCTCGTAGGGGCCGTTCAGGCCCAGAAAGGGCCTTCTTGGGAAACTAATGCAAAACAGCGAAAAAGAAAGGGCCTTCGTGGGCCCGAAAAGGGTACCTTTCTCCCCCCTATCATTGGTCGCCCCACTTCTTAATTCCCACCCAACGGCGGCGGACGGGAAAACGAGACGTCAGCCTGACGTCAGCCTTTTTGGATTGATGGTTCCCAGAGCCCCGTGGTCAGCCTGATGTTTCTGGGCTTTGGTTTCGCTTCGGCGCCAGTTGTTTCGCGTCCACGTGGTACCTCGCGTGCCATACGCGTGCGCGTGCCGTACGCGATGACGCAGTGGAAGGGCACTCTGGTGGGCTCAGGTAGCGAGAAGGGCGTTGCTAACAGCAACGCCCCGTGATTGCGAATTGCGATGCATGGCATATCTTTAGGTGCGACGTGCTGCATGAACACCTGGTATGTCAAGGTCATTGCTCCAACAGGAGTCCTTAGTGCTCGTGCATGTTTGCCGACAATGTATTAGCAAGGTGTCTGCTTATCGGTCTGCGCGTGTGCTACAACACTTCGTTGCGACCATGTCTGCACCTGCGCTGACTGGCACGAGGGAGTGCATGAAAACGCTTCCACTGCACGCGTGCGCGTTTGCAGCTGGTGCTGGGTCTGGCTTGAACCTGGCAGCGGCCGGACAGAATGACCAGCATTCACATGCGTGGCGTTCCAAAAATGGCCTTGCCTAGTAGGCACGGCCTTCGCCTTGGAACAGATGACAACGCCTTCGATCCTCGTAGGCTACGAGGATCGGAGGCGTTGTCCTCTGTTCCGCCGCGGAAGGCGGCGGACGGGCGGCGGAAGGGCGGCGGAAGGAAAGCGAGGCCGCCTCTCGTGGGCGGAAGCCTGCGGAAGGGCGGTGGAGGGCGGCGGAAGGAAAAGGTGCGCCCCCAAGAGACGACAGCGTTTTTGGGGTTCAGGGTTTCCGAAGTCGCCCATCGTGTGTCTGCATATGGCCCGTCCACAGCTGACGCTTCGGTCTTGTCCTGCGCGCCCGCGCAGAAGCGGAGGGCTCTTGGCCGCTCCGCTGCCGCTGCCTCGTCGTCCCTCGCTGCCCAGGCGCCTGTGCCACGGTCTTCCTAGTCGGCCGCACACGGTATGCCCGCGTCACGTTGGCTTATGCTAGAAACGTGTGTGTGTGTGTGCCTCGGGCTGTCGCGCTTCAGTTCACTTTGAGTTTAGAAGTCTCCCTCGTTTTCTGGCCGCTGCATGCTCCTGCGTCGCCTAAGCAGTTCCTCTGACCCGCTCCTCGCTTGCATGTTGCAGTGTGCGGCTCCTCTACGCGGCGCTGTGCGCAGTGCTCGTATCAATTCGCATTTCCATTTGCTGCTCGCTCCTGAGGGCCCTCTGCGCTGCTGGCTTCAATGTGTGTGTGTGTGCTCTGGTCCTCCCGCGGCCGCGCCTCTGTTCCCCCTCTTTCCCCTCTTGCATCGGGTCAGTTCGTCACGCCGTCACCAAGCTGGCTCGAGCGCACGCTCTGACTGCCTCTTCCGTGCTGCAACGTAACGGATTGTGTGCTCTTTTGCAGTCGCGGTGGGTGGCGTTTCTTGGCCTCTTCTGTATTTTTCTGGCGGGGCGCTTGCGCCCTGGTGCATGTCGCCATGTTTCACGTGCGTTGGTTCCTCTTTTGTTTGTCGTTGCACACGTCAGAAGCGTTCTGGCCATCCATCGGCAAAGGCTTGGTGGTAATTGATCTAGGCGTGACCCACTGTAGGACCCGATGCGTCGGATACGCCGGCCGCGACGTTCACCCCATGCTATGTCGCGACAGTGATGGAGCTGGTGTGCGTCATTGCTTTGTTGCCACGTAGAGAGTGGTGCATCCGGCCTGTGCGTGACCCGCCTGACCTGCGCACCGCCGATCGGAGCCAGTGGCGCGTCGGAGGAAGTGTGTGTGTGTGTGTGTGTGTGTGCGTGGGGTCCGCGCCGGACCCGGCTTACGGTCCGGGCAGCGGCTCGCGCTCCGGCTGCCTTTGCCACCGCTCGCCTCGCCGACCTGTCAGGCCTGCTCTGCACATTTGCTCGCGCGCTCGGCTCGCCCGCCCACCCGGCCAGGTGTTCTTTTGTGTCGCGCGCCCGCCAGGCGCAGCCTCCCACCCTCACGCTTCTGCACGCCGGCACTTGTCAGGCGCAGCGCAGCACTCCGTTGTAGACCTCGCTCCCCAGACACGATCGCTTTGTAAAGTGAGTCCGGCGCGACCTCAATCTTGCCTCGGCGCATCGCTGAGCGCATCGCTGGGCATTGCTCGGCATTTCTTGGCATCGCTTGGCATTGCTTTGCATGGGTTGGCATTGCTTGGCATTGCTTGGCATTGCTTGGCATTGCTTGGCGTTGCTTGGGGCTGCTTGGGGCGGTGAACCCGAGGAACCCGAGGAACCCAGGGAACCCGAGAAACCTCCGAGGAACGGGCAAAGTAACAACAGGAGGCGCTGGGGTCGGGGAGCCCGAGGAATCCGGGGACACCGAGGAACCTCAGGGAAACGGGCAAAGTATCAATAGGAGGCACCAGTTCGTAACCAAGTAAGAACCCTTTAGGCAAGCCGATTTTGGGAATAGAAGCACTGGGGGCGGGGAACCCGAGGAACCCGGGGAACCCGAGGAACCTCCTGGAAATGGGTAACGTAGCAAAGGAGGCACTGGGGGCGGGGAACCCGAGGAACCCGAGGAACCTCCGAGCAACGGGCAACGCAGCCGTAGGAGGCACCAACCTTTGACCAAGTAAGAGCCCCTTCGGCAAGCCTCATGGGGGAAAATCAGGACGGGAGGTTTTTGGCCATTTACGGCTTCGGGGGGCTTTCGCCGGGCCTCGGGACCGTCAAAAAGCGATTCAGGATGAAAAGCCAGTCCCAGGGACAGGGTCGGGACTTCAAGGGACCCCGCATTGAAAAAATTAGGACGTCGCATGCCTGCGTCTGGTGGCATCAGTCGGCCATTGGAGGGCAACAGCTGCCCCAGCAGGGCACCTCGACTGCAGCAAAGGTGAAGAGGCCGGCCGAGGAGTAGGAGGTCGGTTAGTGACTGGGGTGAGAGCGTGGCCATGTCCACTTTTATCGCACTTCTTCCAAAGGGGTCGTGGCCGCCCGGACCAAAGTGCAAACGGCACGGAGGCGATGACCACGATCCCTGAATGATTTTGAGGACGTCTGCGGCGAAACGACCGCCAGGGGCGGTCGGTCTGGGGCCCCCCATCCCTCCCTGTAGGACTTTCCTGTGTTTCTGTTGCAATGCTACGAGAAGCCTCTGGCGAGGCGCGTGTGCGGGAGCACTGAAAAACGGGCGTGGGGCTGGGGGGCTCCGCCGAGGATGTGCGGCAGAAGGCGCGACGGAGCGTGGAGCGCCGGGCCCCGCGCCGAGGCTGAAGGAGATCTGGACGCTGTGGTGCACAGGCGCCGCGCGCTTGCCCCTCTTCGGGGGGGGGCGGCCTCGCCACAGGCAGCGCGCTTGAAAACAGGAGCCACTTGGGGGCTCGGGAGGGGCTCCGGGCCTCGTGCTGCTCCCCCGAGGTCAGTTAGTGCTTAAAATAAGAACATGCATGTCTTAACATACTAGCCGGCCGCTCTGCGGTTGATCGGGAGTTTCTGTATATAGAAGAAGGTGCGTGCGCTTGTTGGCGAGGGTGAGGATGAGGTTCCTCCTCCTCCTCCTCCTCCTCCTCCTCCTCCTCCTCCATCCTTCTCTTGCCTCCGTCTGTCCTCCTCCACCCCGCAGCTCCATCATCTTCTCCTCCTCCTCCTCCTCCTCCTCCTCCTCCTCCTCCTCCTCCTCCTCCTCCTCCTCATTCCTCCTCTGGGCACCTCCCCCGGGGCGCGGATCCACCGGATCCGGATCTGTCCGGAAACGGTGCCGGAGGCCGCTCTGGGCTCCTCTGGGCACCTCCCCCGGGGCCGGTTTTGTGAGGATGTCTCAAGCGAGGGCGCCGGTTTGGGATTCGTCGGCGGATCCACGGATCCACCGGATCTGTCCGGAAACGGTGCCGGAGGCCGCTCTGGGCTCCTCTGGGCACCTCCCCCGGGGCCGGTTTTGTGAGGATGTCTCAAGCGAGGGCGCCGGTTTGGGATTCGTCACCGGATCCAGCGGATCCACCGGATCTGTCCGGAAACGGTGCCGGAGGCCGCTCTGGGCTCCTCTGGGCACCTCCCCCGGGGCCGGTTTTGTGAGGATGTCTCAGCGAGGGCGCCGGTTTGGGATTCGTCACCGGATCCAGCGGATCGTCCGGAAACGGTGCCGGAGGCCGCTCTGGGCTCCTCTGGGCACCTCCCCCGGGGCCGGTTTTGTGAGGATGTCTCAAGCGAGGGCGCCGGTTTGGGATTCGTCATCCGGATCCACCGGATCTGTCCGGAAACGGTGCCGGAGGCCGCTCTGGGCTCCTCTGGGCACCTCCCCCGGGGCCGGTTTTGTGAGGATGTCTCAAGCGAGGGCGCCGGTTTGGGATTCGTCATCCGGATCCACCGGATCTGTCCGGAAACGGTGCCGGAGGCCGCTCTGGGCTCCTCTGGGCACCTCCCCCGGGGCCGGTTTTGTGAGGATGTCTCAAGCGAGGGCGCCGGTTTGGGATTCGTCACCGGATCCAGCGGATCCACCGGATCTGTCCGGAAACGGTGCCGGAGGCCGCTCTGGGCTCCTCTGGGCACCTCCCCCGGGGTTTTGTGAGGATGTCTCAAGCGAGGGCGCCGGTTTGGGATTGTGGAGGTCCGGAAACGGTGCCGGAGGCCGCTCTGGGCTCCTCTGGGCACCTCCCCCGGGGCCGGTTTTGTGAGGATGTCTCAAGCGAGGGCGCCGGTTTGGGATTCGTCACCGGATCCAGCGGATCCAGCGGATCCAGTCCGGAAACGGTGCCGGAGGCCGCTCTGGGCTCCTCTGGGCACCTCCCCCGGGGCCGGTTTTGTGAGGATGTCTCAAGCGAGGGCGCCGGTTTGGGATTCGTCACCGGATCCAGCGGATCCACCGGATCTGTCCGGAAACGGTGCCGGAGGCCGCTCTGGGCTCCTCTGGGCACCTCCCCCGGGGCCGGTTTTGTGAGGATGTCTCAAGCGAGGGCGCCGGTTTGGGATTCGTCACCGGATCCAGCGGATCCACCGGATCTGTCCGGAAACGGTGCCGGAGGCCGCTCTGGGCTCCTCTGGGCACCTCCCCCGGGGCCGGTTTTGTGAGGATGTCTCAAGCGAGGGCGCCGGTTTGGGATTCGTCACCGGATCCACCGGATCTGTCCGGAAACGGTGCCGGAGGCCGCTCTGGGCTCCCCCGGGGCCGGTTTTGTGAGGATGTCTCAAGCGAGGGCGCCGGTTTGGGATTCGTCACCGGATCCCCCGGTCCGGAAACGGTGCCGGAGGCCGCTCTGGGCTCCTCTGGGCACCTCCCCCGGGGCCGGTTTTGTGAGGATGTCTCAAGCGAGGGCGCCGGTTTGGGATTCGTCACCGGATCCACCGGATCCACCGGATCTGTCCGGAAACGGTGCCGGAGGCCGCTCTGGGCTCCTCTGGGCACCTCCCCCGGGGCCGGTTTTGTGAGGATGTCTCAAGCGAGGGCGCCGGTTTGGGATTCGTCACCGGATCCAGCGGATCCAGCGGATCTCTGTCCGGAAACGGTGCCGGAGGCCGCTCTGGGCTCCTCTGGGCACCTCCCCCGGGGCCGGTTTTGTGAGGATGTCTCAAGCGAGGGCGCCGGTTTGGGATTCGTCACCGGATCCACCGGATCTGTCCGGAAACGGTGCCGGAGGCCGCTCTGGGCTCCTCTGGGCACCTCCCCCGGGGCCGGTTTTGTGAGGATGTCTCAAGCGAGGGCGCCGGTTTGGGATTCGTCACCGGATCCACCGGATCTGTCCGGAAACGGTGCCGGAGGCCGCTCTGGGCTCCTCTGGGCACCTCCCCCGGGGCCGGTTTTGTGAGGATGTCTCAAGCGAGGGCGCCGGTTTGGGATTCGTCACCGGATCCACGGATCCAGCGGATCTCTGTCCGGAAACGGTGCCGGAGGCCGCTCTGGGCTCCTCTGGGCACCTCCCCCGGGGCCGGTTTTGTGAGGATGTCTCAAGCGAGGGCGCCGGTTTGGGATTCGTCACCGGATCCAGCGGATCCACCGGATCTGTCCGGAAACGGTGCCGGAGGCCGCTCTGGGCTCCTCTGGGCACCTCCCCCGGGGCCGGTTTTGTGAGGATGTCTCAAGCGAGGGCGCCGGTTTGGGATTCGTCACCGGATCCAGCGGATCGGATCTGTCCGGAAACGGTGCCGGAGGCCGCTCTGGGCTCCTCTGGGCACCTCCCCCGGGGCCGGTTTTGTGAGGATGTCTCAAGCGAGGGCGCCGGTTTGGGATTCGTCACCGGATCCACGGATCCACCGGATCTGTCCGGAAACGGTGCCGGAGGCCGCTCTGGGCTCCTCTGGGCACCTCCCCCGGGGCCGGTTTTGTGAGGATGTCTCAAGCGAGGGCGCCGGTTTGGGATTCGTCACCGGATCCACCGGATCTCTGTCCGGAAACGGTGCCGGAGGCCGCTCTGGGCTCCTCTGGGCACCTCCCCCGGGGCCGGTTTTGTGAGGATGTCTCAAGCGAGGGCGCCGGTTTGGGATTCGTCGGATCTCACCGGATCCACCGGATCTGTCCGGAAACGGTGCCGGAGGCCGCTCTGGGCTCCTCTGGGCACCTCCCCCGGGGCCGGTTTTGTGAGGATGTCTCAAGCGAGGGCGCCGGTTTGGGATTCGTCACCGGATCCACCGGATCTGTCCGGAAACGGTGCCGGAGGCCGCTCTGGGCTCCTCTGGGCACCTCCCCCGGGGCCGGTTTTGTGAGGATGTCTCAAGCGAGGGCGCCGGTTTGGGATTCGTCACCGGATCCAGCGGATCCACCGGATCTGTCCGGAAACGGTGCCGGAGGCCGCTCTGGGCTCCTCTGGGCACCTCCCCCGGGGCCGGTTTTGTGAGGATGTCTCAAGCGAGGGCGCCGGTTTGGGATTCGTCACCGGATCCACCGGATCTGTCCGGAAACGGTGCCGGAGGCCGCTCTGGGCTCGTGCTCTTCGCGCCGGGGGTGAGGATGACGTGAGTTCCACAGGAACTCCCTCAAATAAGAATTTATAGGTCTTATAAAAAGAACCTGTATGTACAACATACAAGACAATCGAGCGTAGCAGTACACTGTTGCATTGGATCCTTAGAGCTGGGGCCGGGGGGGCACGTTCGTGGCCGGCGCTCGCCGTGGCTAGAAAAGCCTCTCCGTTTGCTTGGTCAGCGCGTTCTTGGTAGCATGCACGGACCAAGGCCCAGACCTCCAGCGTCGCCTGCTTTTCCCAGCGTGGACCCCTCGAGGCCTGGGCATGCTCGCCTGGACCAGCTCCTCCGCCCGAGCGGCTTTTTTGTAGCGCCCCAGGGCTAGGCAAGGGCCCCCAGAGGCCGAGAGCTGTCAGGTCCCTCCGTCCCGGTTTTGTTGGCGACGTGAGGGGGCTCTACGTCAAACAGTGGCGAAGCGTCCAGTCTCACCTATAGGCCAACCAAACAATGTTCTAAAAAACTGTTGTGGATTCCACGAAATGTTCTTAGAACACTTCTGGCTGGGACCGTCTTGTTTCAGCGCCTCGGGCTTCTGCTCTAAGAACACTGCTTCTGTTCTTCGAGCATTTTGGGGGTCCTGAGAGCATGTCGTGGACGGTCGAGGTTCTAAGAGCTTCTAAGAGCATTTTGGCGTTCTAAGAGCATGTCGTTGGGGTTCTAAGACCATAGGGATACCGGGACGGTCGGTGCCTGCTCAACCACGGGCCCCCCCCGGGAACACCCTCTGCTTGCAGGATCTGTAAAACAGGGCTAGGATCGGGATAAATCGCTCCAGAGCGTTCCGGAGCGCTCTCAGAGCGTTCCGGAACGTTCTGGAGCGGCCGCGGCGCCCAATACATCCTCCAAACCCGCCGATTCTCAGAGATCTCGAGTTTTCCCGATCCGATTTTGTCCCGATCTTCGCGTCGTTTTAATCTGCTTGCCAGTCTCCCCCCGGGGGCCCGCCGTGGCCCTCGGCTCCTCGATGCTCCCCGGCCGTGCCTCGTCCTTGGCGCTCCCGGGTGCCCCCCTGCGGGGAGCGACGGCGGCACCAGAGTGACACATCGCAGCGGCTGGGGCCGTGCGAGTCCCGCATCTTCCCTCCCCTCCTCCTCTGCCTTCTCTTCCGCCACCCTTCTACATAATATATACATATATATACACACATTATGCATATATGTATATCTATATGTATATATAAAGATATATCTCACGACGTGTTGGATTTCTATCCGGCTGCCTGCGGCGAGTCCCGCTGTGCCAGGCCGCCCTTCGAGCCCAGGAGGCCCCCCCTCCACCTCCGCCCTCGGATGTTGCGCCTCCCTCGTTTTCCTCCCCTGCTCCTCCTCCTCCGAATGAGTTGCGCAGCT